CCTGTGCGCATGGCGCCCCATGAGCCCGGGAGCCCCGGAGCTGGGAGGACTGACCGGCTTCGCCCCATTACTCGGGAGCCACGCAGATGCTGTTTGCTTGTTTGTTTAGTTACTAGGGGCCCAGTGCACAAATTCATGCACCTAAAAAGGAACTGTGGGCTGCGAGGCTGTGGTGGGCACAGGGGCAGGTTTGGCCCATCCTCCCGGTCCCTCCCACCGTGGCCCCTGGTCCCCTGTCTGCCGGCAGCCCCACTCCCACCGCCGCCGCTCCCACGCACTGACGTTGCCGGTCCTGCTTGCACCCACTGACGAAGCAGAGCGATTGGGGCCAGCGCCATCAGCGGGTGCTGCCCCGATCGCCCCTCAGGAGCAGGGGGAGGTGGAGAAGCCCCCAGGGGCAATTGGGGCCGGCAGCCACTGCTCACACCTGCTGACGGCTCTGGGCACTGGCAGGTGTGAGCTGTGGCTCTGGCGCCAGCAGCAGGTGCAAGTGCTGGGTGGGACTGTGGCACATGGGAGCAAAGAATGTTCAGTAACCACCAGAGGCTCAACCAATGACAGTGACCGGTGCCCCGCCTTGGTCTGGCGCCCCCGCTCACCTCCACCTCCCGCCTCGGCTGACGCCCGCCATGTTCCCTGCGTGCCTCCTGGTGGTCAATGCATGTCATAGCGACCAGTTCAGTTGTTTGGTTGTTCCACTGTTTGGTCTATTTGCATATTAGCCTTTTATTATATAGGATTTATTTATTTGTTTAATTTTCACCCAAAGAGTGAGGACATTTTTTTCCCCACTGATTTAGAGGGAGTGGAAGGGAGGGAGTGGGGGAGAGAGAGAAACATTGATGTGACAGACACACATCGATTGGCTGCCTCCCGCATGTGCCCCGACCAGGGCTGGGGGTCAAACCTGCAACTGAGGTACGTGCCTGGGACCAGGAATGGAACCCAAGACCCTCTGGTAGGAAGGCCGGTGCTCTAACCACTGAGCCGCGGGCCAGGGCCGCAGGCCTCTTAGATCACAGATGTCTCCATCAGCCACGCGTGCCCAGGTTAGTTAACTGGTCCCTTTAATTAGCAGCTTACCTGGCGAAGCTGTAATGTGGACGCAGGAGAAGCAGGTCTTAGGCAGTGGAGGGAAGGACCAGGGTTCTGGAGCCGGGAGCATCGGCTGGGGACCTGGTGTGGGAAGGCACCGCCATGCAGCTCCTGGAATCGGGATGAAGCCAGCGTGGGAGCTGGCGTTTGGGCTGGAAAGGGCGTGGGTTCAGGAGCGCGTGGGAGGGGGACTGCGGGGTCCCCTGTGGCTTGTCCGAGGCCGTGGTCGCTGCAGGGCGGGGCCCTCAGTGTGCCCTCCAGTCCTCCACCCTGGACAGAGCAGCTCCTCCCAAGCGCTGGCCACCTGGCAGCCCGTCGCCTTTTGGGGGGACGTGAGGGGGTTGGTTGCTGACTTCCAAGTCAGTCCCCGACAGTGGCTGTCAGGACGATGCCGGCCCCACACGCTGGGAGCTAGGCTGTTGCCACCTGTTGTTTATCTCAGATCAGAGGAGTCTCACCGTCTCAAAGGGCGAGAGCTTCGCTTTGCTGCCGGCTCACAGCTTCCACCTGTCACGGGTTTAATACCTTATTAGAACTTTACACCCTGTGCCTGTTTCTTATCAATTAAGATGATTGGGGTGACACCGGTTCATAGGATCATATAGGTTTCAGGTGGAATGTCTTGCTTTTCTTAAACTTTATTTCCCAACTAGAGGCCCGGTGCATGAAATTCATTTACACCCCTCCAACCCCCTGAACCCCCTGAATCCCCCCCCCACACACACACACACTCTCCTGTGAGGGAGTGCTGTCGGTTCTCTTAAAGCGAAGCCAAAGAAGGCGCTCGCTCAGACCCTCCATCCCGAACCCTCCCCTGAGCCCGCGAGGAGGCGGAATGGAGACCGGGGTCACCAGCCCGTGTCCGGCCCGGCCGCTGGGACAGTGTTTGCCCCGTTTCCGCTTTAGAGACTCCTGCTCCGGGAGCTCCTAGGGAACAAGGCACACGTGCCCGGCCGCGTGGCTCAGGGGTTGAGCGTCGACCTATGAGCCAGGAGGTCAGGGTTTGATTCCCGGTCAGGGCACAGGCCGGGTGGCGGGCTTGATCCCCAGTGGGGGGCGTGCAGGAGGCAGCCGATGCATGATTCTCTCTCATCACTGAGGTTTCTCTCTCTCCCTCCCTTCCTCTCTGACGTCAATAAAATATATTTAAAGAGAAATAGAAAGGAAAGGCGCGCCGGCCCCTAACAACTCGCCGTGACCTCCCAAGGAGCTGGCGGAGGGCCGCGGGCCGCTCTCCGAACGGCCTCCGAGGTCAGAGGACCCGGCTTCACTGTCTGGAGGGTGACGTCCCGTGTCCTTTCCCACTTGGCGGGTGAAGCGGCCGGCGCGGCCCGCGGCCCGCGGCCCTCGTTCCCGCGGGGAGCGCATCGCAGGTGCCGGTGGCCCCGGCCTCAGGAGCGGCAGGTGGGGCCAGGCCGCCCCCACACCGGCTGCGGCTGCGAGCGGGGTGCGGGCCCTCGCCTTCCGGCGGCCAGCTTGCCGAGCGGTTCTGAGCGCCTTTTGTTGTGCCCGGGGCCGGAGCCGCCGGCTTGGCCGAGCCCAGGCAGAAAAGATCAAGTGTCCAGTCCGTGCCTGCGCCTGCGGGGCCGCTGAGAGTCGCATCAAGTTACCAAATGCTCCGCTCGCACTCGAGGTTCGGGGTTACTCTGCCTCCAAAAGGAAAGAGAAAGCGACCCGTTTCGGGGCGACTGGGGGCTGATCCGGTCACGGACGGGTGTCCCTGAGTCACCGCGTGGGCCTGGAACCGGGTTGCCCGACGCGGCGTTCCCTCCCTTTCAGGAGATTTGAACCCGGTGGTGGAAAAGGCACGAAGGGCTCCTGGCAGGCGTGTCAACAGTGAAATAGTGAGTGTAAATCCTGAGAGGCCATTCAAGCCCCGGCCGGGGGCCCAGTGGTCAGAGCACCGGCCCTCTGGACCGAAGGGCTGTGCGTTCGGTTCCGGGGAAGGGCCTTTGCGGGCTCCATCCCCAGCCCGGTTTGGGGTGCGTGCAGGAGGCAGCCAATGGAAGCGTCTCTCTCACAGTGATGTTCCTCTCTCTCTCTCTTTATCCCCCCTCCCCATTACGCTCTAAAAAAGAAAAAAATCAATGGAAAAATATCCTAGCGTGAGGATTAAAAAAAAGGAAGATTGCTGTTGGGGCCCAACACTGAGCGTTTAGAGAAGTTTTTAATCATTGATCGCTCTCCCTGTGTGTGGGCTTGTACACACATGTATGTTTACATGTGTTATAAAGTCCTCTTCAGCGGGTCTTCCAGCTTCACTCTGATATGGCCACGGAGGTGCCACTTGGAGAGGCGTCTGAGGTGACAGGGTTTACTGCCCTCACCCGCCCGCAAGGGCGAGGACCCCTGGGCAGTGCCGTTCGGGGGTCAGGTGTCCCACACAAGCAAAAGGCATGAGACGGTTATTGGTGGCTTTGAAGGACCCGGTCACAGTCAGGGGACCCCAGGAAGGGGCCTCGCCACAGGGACCCCCTCGTCCCACTGGCCTCCTGGTCACGGCTCACAGCCTGGCAGTGGGGACGTCGAGGCATCAGGAAACCAGGAAGTCTTAAAAATGGACAATACATCCCGGCCACGTGGCTCGGTGGTTGAGCATCTACCTGTGAACCAGGAGGTCTGGGTTCGATTCCTGCTCAGGGCACAGGCCCGGGTTGTGGGCTCGATCCCCAGTGAGGGGCGTACAGGAGGCAGCCGGTCCATGGTTCTCTCTCATCGTTGATGTTTCTCTCTCTCCCTCTCCCTTCCTCGCTGACATCAATAAAAATAGAATTTTAAAACACGGACATACAGTCGCAGAGAGAGCCAGTGGGTCCTGGTGGTGAGGGCAGTGCTCGTTTCTCAGGGCGAGTCACAGAGCCGGGTGGTCAGCGCTCGCAGTGTAGGCAGCCACCTGCAGGGCCGCTCTCTCCGGGTGGACGAGGACTGTCCCCCGCGCTCTGGCCTTCCCGCACCTGCTCCTGAAACGGTGGCAGCGCACGTGCGGCAGGTTTGTGGACTTGGCCTTGGAAATGGCGTGCGTGTGGCTTGAAGAAAACCAGGGAGTTTGACTGTCAGAGAAAAGCTGAGTCTGAGAAAAATCGGCCGGACTCTGGGGTCCGGGGATCTGTGGGCTGAACGCGGGTGCCAGGGGCCAGCGGCCTGTCCGAGCGGCCCTGGCGGGTCCTGCAGGAGCATCTCGCTCGTTCCTGTGCAGATGCTCCCGTGCACCCTTGGACCCGGGACGCGGGACCCGCGGCGTCGCGCCAGCACGAAGACGAGCCCTCTCCGGGGCAGTTGTGTAGAAAACGAAAGCCAACGTCACCTACTGTTCCCCAGCTCTTCGTCCTCAGGCCAGACCCGGCAAGGCAGGCCCTTGCCCTCTTCTGGGCCCCTTCTTCCAAAGTTGGGGCTCCCGGTCACTCTTCCTCTCCCCCCGACCCCCGCTCTCCTCGGCGGTGACCTTGACCGCCCTGTCCCCACACCAGGTGCCCTGCTTCTGCTGTTTCTATCGCCTGCCCATCAGCCCTGTGAAGCAGGCCGAGCTCCCGTTCTACAGACGAGAAAACTGAGGTCTAAAGAGGTTGTGCTCAACGTGTCCAAACGCATCTGATCCAGGGGGTTCCAGAGCCTGATTCCCTGCATCGTAGCCTGCGGCCACCCCCTGCTTGGACACTTTTGATCCTGGGCCAGCGCCTCTGGCGAGCCACACCGGCCTGCCCCGTCCCACCCGCTCTCCCACACCCACCCGTGTGCGGGCGCTGCTGCCTGTGAGGCCACCCCAGCAGGGCCCACCCGCCTCTGCCTTCCACTTTCCCTGATGCAGTTTTTAAAAGTCAGTTGGGGAAGAGTGAGGCTGATGAATGAGTTCCCTGGTCCCTTTAATCTCCTTAGTAATTGAACTCCCTTCAATTACGGCTTTTCAGTAGCAATGTCTTCAAGAAGTGACTCCCCCAAGGAGGAGCGAAGGAGGCATGAGATGATGCCAACTCCACCATCACAAACCAGTAAGATGTGTTTGGCGAGTCTTTGGTTCGCCTCGAAGTCCTGCCAGCCTTCCACTCACCACAGGAACCTGCTCCCTGGTAGGTCGGCCGCTGCTGAAACCAACCCTCGCACGCCTGGGAGGAATGACAGGATAAAGGGTTATTTCCTGCTCGTGCCTCCATCTGGCGTCTTTAGAAGATGGGGGAGGCTGTGCTCCAGGCTGTCACTCAGGGACCCAGGTTCCTTCCCCCCTGTGCCTCGGTCATCTTCTGCATCCCCAGAGTCTGTCCTTGTCCCCTGCATCTTCCCCACGTGGCAGCAGACGGAGAGAGGGAGCGAGTGTCACCGGGGCCTGCAAGTGGCAGATGCCACTCTGCCCTCTCCACTGGCCAGACTTCCGCTGTCCCCTGGACTGCAAGGGGACTGAGCCACAGCTCCCCCCGGGGGCGCCCAGAGAAATGTGTGTCTCCGCCCCATGGAGACTCTCGGGTCCTTCCGGTGGGTTTTGGGGCCAGGATCTGAGCGCATCACTTAGGAGCGGTGAGAGCTCCCCTTGGCCGCCCCATGTGACCCCCAAAGTGTCTGAGAAGCAGGCTGGTGCTGTTGTTCAAGTTTTGGTACCAAACCTGGGATGAGAGAAAGGCCTTAATCCGAGGTCTCAGTTCACTTTCAATGCTCCTGAGTCGGGGGGCCGGGGGGGGGAGCAGCCACCAGCTCTTTATCTGCTGTGAGGCCGGTCCTGCCCCCCCCGCCCCCCGCAACACTGACTCACCGCTCCCGACGCGTGGGCTGCCCCCTCCCCGGGCCCTCGCCACTTCTCTAAACACGCTCGCAAACACGAAAGAAAAAACACCCTTTTCTGGAAAAGAACCTGAAACATGTAGCAACACCTTGGAGAATTTGAGAATAGAGGGTGTAGCCTCTTATCTGAACGTTAATGGGGGGGGGGAGGCGCCGCTTTGTTATTTCTTTAAAGAGGGGGAGGCAAGGACAATAGGATTGAATTCCACCCTCTTCCCAGAAGCCGTTGCGAAATGGGCCGGCGGTTCGGGGACTTGGCAGGGGCGTGGGCAGCGCCGATGTGCTCCCTCCTGCGCGCAGTGGCCGCGCGGCCTGGCGACTGGCCTTCGTGGGTTCTGGCCCCGGAGGAGGAAGAGGAGCGGGAGAAGGCCAGCCTGGGCCTCTTCTAAACAGCGACTTCTTGAACCTCGATCGTCGGGGGTCGGCCATGGTGCCGGCCGTGCCCGTCACTGGGCGCTTCTGTAGAATGGGTTTTCCTTGTGAATGTGACTCCCCGTGTCGGTGTGAGGACGGAGGGGAGCTCCTGCCGTTCTTGGGGGTCTGTTCCCCAGAAAGTCTCCATCTGCCTTCAAAAAAAGGGAAACCTGGCCCAAGCCGGTGTGGCTCAGTGGATAGAGCCTCGGTCTGCGGACTGAAGGGTCCCGGGTTCGATCCCGGTCAAGGGCACAGGCCCGGGTTGCGGGCTTGATCCCCAGAAGGGGGCCGTGCAGGAGGCAGCTGATCAGTGATTCTCATCACTGATGTTTCTCCCTCTCTCCCTCTCTCATCCTCTCTGAAGTCAGTAAAAAAATACATTTTTTAAAAAGTAGACGCCTCTAAGATGTGCCTTTTGGGACAGTCCTTGAGCTAAGTTCTAGCCGTGGCCGTGGCTGTGGCTGCAGAAGTTTCACTGACAGGCAGTGGGGGTGGGGGTGTGGCCAGGAAAGAGAGTATCTTGTGTTAAACGCCAGCTGCATGGAGGCCTCTGAGCCACGGAGCTGATGGCGGGTCTCCCCCCTCCCCCCGCAGTTCGACACGGTCAGCAGAGCGTTTCCAGGCCGTTCCAGGCTCAAGGATGGGTTTCCTAACAGCGTGCCCGTCTGCCTTCTCTCGGGAGCAAATATTTGCCCACAGCTGTAATGTGGGGACTGGCCAGGGGTGTAAGAAATAAAGCATTTCCACCACCACCGGGATGGGCCACGTGGTCCAGAGGGAACGTCCACAAAACGCTGCGCACGAGCCAGCCGAGGAGCCAGGTGGAGAGGCCCAGGGCTAGGGTCTGCGTGCTTGTGCCCCCCCCCCCATTCGTGGTTTAAAACCGTAACCCCCAAAGGTGATGGTGTCAGGAGGTGGGGCCTTTGGGGCGTGATAGGTCAAGAGGGAGGAGCCGTCATGAATGAGACCACTGCTCCCGTTACATAAATGAGTTTCCCAGCCCGGCCGGCGTGGCTCAGTGGTTGAGCGTCCACCTATGAACCAGGAGGTCACGGTTTGCTTCCCGGTCAGGGCACAGGCCCGGGTTGTGGGTTCCATCCCCAGTGTGGGGCGTGGGGTGTGCAGGAGGCTGCTGATCAGTGATTTTCTCTCATCACTGATGTTTCTATCCCTCGTTCCCTCTCCCTTCCTCTCTCAGAATCAATAAAAATACATTAAAAAGCAAACAAAAGAAACGTATGCTGCCATGTGCCCACCATTAGAGAATCAGACAGCACAGACTCATCGCCCCAAAAATCCTGTGCTCCCCCGATGGAGCCTCCCCCCAAGCCCTGGGGCCCGACCCTCTCACGTCCGCGTGGCGCAGCCTTTCCCAGGTCTCATGGCTGGAACCACACGCGTGGGGCCTCCTAGACGCCCCTTCCACTTGGCCACGTGCCCTGCGGGTCCCCGTGTCTCCCGTGCCTTCACAGCTCATTGCGCTTTAGTCCCGGACGGACCCCTCGTCGGTCGTGGGCCCGTCCTCCCAGAACAAGAACGGGGTGGGGGTGGGGGGCAGTCCTCTCGTTCCGAGGGGAATGGTCCCGTGGAGGCCCAGCCCTGTTTCCTGGGACGGACGACACGACAGACGGAGGAGAGAGGCAGTGGCCCCACGCTGGTGACTCAGTGTGGCCAGGGGAGGATGGGGAGACGAACGAGACAGCTTTGCTGTTAATCCTCCCCTGGGGGTATTTTCCCGTTGATTTTAGGGAGAGAGGAAGGGAGGGGGAAAGACAGAGAAACATCGATAGGTCGCCTCCTGCATGAGCCCCACCAGGCCCC